CACCTCTGTCCTGCACCCCAGCTCTTGTATGCATAAATAAATACATCTTTTTAAAAATAAATAAACAAATAAAGGTCTAGGAGCCAGAGACTGGATGATCCACTTTTAGGCATCCTTGCTGACCCTGCGACATGAGCACCAAGATGTGGGATTTGGGGGAGTGAAGGAAGCAGGCTGCACTTGGACTCTGGGGGTGCCCCAGGTGGAGTTGAAGCCTCAGCCAGGGGCCCACCTTGGTGCTCATGGATTCTGCAACCCGAAGATGCTCCACACCCTTTCCAGGTGGGTTTCCAGGACTCTAATTTCCCTGGTTCCAAATGACACCCTTGCCCCCCACCCTTGCATCCATCCCACGCCTGGAACTTGGGAAGTCGAACTCCCCTTCTCCTCTCCCTACCCTTTGTCTCCAGTTAGATGCCTGAAGAATCCAGGGAGCTGGTGCCCAAGGGGCTGCACCTGTTCGTTGGGTATTTTTAGGATGGGTGACGAACACATAATTCCCACCCTGTCGGTGGAGGACAATGCGCGCTATGTTAATCCCGTGGCTATTATCGTCGGTCATCTCATAGGTCAGGAGCCAGGTTGGGGAAGGACAAGCAGGATACTGACCCCCGTGGAGGCCAGGGAGAAGCCTCACATGCAGGTGGGGAGACGAGCACAGTGCCCACGGGGAGTGAGGCAGAGATGGGTAAAGCCCTGCCCTCTGTGCTGTCCTGGTGCCCAACTGAGCTTGTTCTAACTCAACCCTGGTCAGCTCAGCTTTGGGGAACCTCCATGCTAGAGGCATGAGGGAAAGAGATCAAGGCCTGGGATATTTTGGGAATTGGGGTACAGAGTTCCATGAGGAGGAGCTAATATAGAAAATAAAGACAAGCACCAGTTAAGAAACAGCTGAGGATCAGAGAAAGAAGTGGAGGGCTGGAGGATGTGTCTACTCGAGTTTATCAGGTGGGTTTATTTTGTTTGTAAATCTCATAAGATCTTAATATGCACCCCCCAAAAATGAATCATCTGCATGACTTTTG